CCCCAAAACCCCAAAACCCCAAAACCCCAAAACCCCAAAACCCCATAGTAAAGAATAGTTAAAAAGAGAGAGATAATAGAAAATCACAGAGCAATCTAATTATAACTATTTTTAATAAGCAAGGGAAAGCTAAACTTTCAAGATGAAATATTAGCGAGGAGGCACCAACAAATCCACGCCCTCAAACCAAGCAATCAGCTCTATCGGCACTCCTGACAATGCCACAGTAATAAATACTTCCATGAATATGGCCTCCAATTAGGACGCTCCTGGAGGCTTTGGACGAGAAGCAGCTAAACATCAAAATAGCTCAATTTCGCCTTTCATGAAAGGCCTGGAAGAGAAAAATATTAAAAATGAGGAGCTGTTCAGAAATTCACAGCAGAGGAATAAGAACAAGATCCACCCAATGAACAGCGATGATAAAAAGTATGCTTTGACTGTCTAATGCCCTCTCTTATTATATACTTGGTAGGATGAATGCTGATCACATCAAGGTGCACGACCAAGATGAATATGAAGATGAAGATTATGGAGAGGAGGATTATGATGATGAGGAGGAAGTGGGAAGCAACACTCATGCTAATCAGGCTCTTCAAAAGAAAAGTAACACTCAATTTTGCTGTTTAACTTTTGCTCTATAGCCACTTCCATATTCAAGCAAGACGCTTCTCACGGACTCTCCTATGAAAAGATGGTTTATAGTCTGCATAAGACACATCCAAGAGTTACCATTAAAGACGAAAAAAGTATGAGATATATATAGTAACTAGTTAATAGCTGGGAAAACCAAATATTCAAAGCATCCTTATTGCAAAACTAAGACTGGCTGGCACTGCTGTTGTCGCTACTTCAGAGAAACTGACTTCGCTCAGTATGGTGCGGGTATTGCTCTGTACTTCTAGTTCTTGAAGCACATCTTTGTAGTTTTCTTCTTCATGGCTCTTATGAGTTTCCCCGCCTACGTGTTTTACTTCAGTGGCAACACTGCTGAGTCCTCCAGTTACACTAATCTCAAGTACATACTCGCTGCTTTCTCTCTTGGCAATGTCGGATAATGTAAGTATTACCTTTTTAAATATTTTTTTGATTTTAAAAACCTCTAATTAATATTCTATTTATAGCTGACTATGCTTGCAACAGTGCCTAATTATCAGAGAGTAAAATCAGTTTGTATTGTGCTTATGGAACTCTGGATACTATATATCAATTTGGATAATCCCTCTCGAATAGCAGCTCAAGTTGCAAGAATGATGGCGAGAATTTGAAATTCACTCCCAGTACATGTGACTACAGACAGAGCGGTTTCGGATCTATCAATAAAGCCAACTTGAATAAGCTTTTTAACTCAACATGCACTGGCAAAGTCAGTTGCACCCTTCCATTCTACTATAATGCTACTAGCGTTACAAACTCATCACAATTCGTGAACACATCTATTGTTCCAGCTAACTGCACCAATGGATCGCCGAAGTACTCTCAAAATGAAGTGGTGTACTTCCTGCAAGCTGTTTGCAAGAGTGATAAAATCAATGTTTTTCTCTCAAATTACTTCTACTTGGATAAAAGTACAGTAGCTTTGGTGATTGTATTATTGGATCTGGGTATAGCATTCTTTCTTTGGGCTACATTCGTTTATCTCAAAGCCTTTTAGAACATTACAGCCGACGAAATCAATGAGGCTGTTATTACAGCTTCAGACTTCTCAGTCTAGATCAAGAATCTACCGAATCATGATCACCTTAAAAAGCTAAAAACCAATATATTATGGAAAATTGAATCTATACTTTAACTTGAAAAAGATGCTCTAGTAAATCCTTAGTCTAACATTGAAGATGAATATTAGAACTACTTAATGGACATTAATTTTGGACTTAATGACTACGGAAGACTGGACTATATGATGAAAATGGCTTAATAGTTGCAAGAAAAGAAAAAGTATGAGGCTTTGATAAAGGATGATCCAGCAAAGAGAGACATATATCAGAAGAAGATAGATGACTTGAATAAGAAGGCTATTCAATAGCTGAAAGACATGGAGGAGTATGCTAAAAATAACAAGCAGAGAGCTGTCATTGCTTATGCACAGTTCTAAAGTATGAACGGCAAGAAGAAATTCATTAAAGCTATGAGAGTCACTAGATGCCAGAGAATGTGTGGTAATTCTAAGCTTTTCTAGCATAAATAGTAAGTTCTTTCATCAGCTCTAAATCTTAATTAGCTTTGAGAGCAACTGGCCAGAGATCAAATCAGCACCAGAGCCATCTGTTATTTTATGGCAAAATCTAAGAGTTGGCCCCTTTAATAGATTTATCAGAACTCTAATAGTGGGACTCATTACTTTAGTTTTGCTTCTGATTTCAGTCTTTGGCATCGTCACTACCAAGTACTACCAAGATCTATACTCATCAAAGTATAACCTTGAGAGTTGTGGTGGAATCGATGTTACCCAGACATCTGCATATAGTGATTATTTATTGCCAAGCGACAGGTAAACTGGACTGCTAGGATGCTACTGCTATTCACAACTCAAAATCATTCAGTAATTATTGCTTACTCTCTTAATGAATAATCTTCAGACTGGAAGTGAGAAATATAGTGTTTCCAAATAAAGAAAAGCTTTGTTCTGATTGGTTGACTGGCTATACCATTACAAATGCTATGATCTACTCTACTGCTATCTTAATTACTGCTCTCAACGTCATCATCACTGAAGTTCTTATTAGTAAGTTTCAGATAATTTTATCATTCAAACTAGGACTCTCGAGATTCCAGAAGTTTCATACCAAGACTCAAGAAAAAGCATCTAGCACCATAAAAATGTTCTTAATTCAATTCATCAATACAGTAAATTACTAAAAACTCTCTTAATTCATGCTTCATAGGGTCTCGTTATATTGCTAGTAAATGCTAAGGTCTCTGAAGTGCAGTTGCCAGACTTTGTGCCTTTATTCTCAGGCAAATTTTCTGATTTCACAGTTGAGTGGTACAGAGTAGTAGGAACTACTATTACACTTACCATGCTTATCAATATTATCTCTCCACACATTGGAGCGTTTGTTAAGATCTTCATTAAGTCGTTTAAGAGATGCCTTGATAGAAGCTGCACTTGCGACAGAAGAAGGACGAAGAAGTTGCTTCAGGATGACTACAATGAGGTTTACACTGGGCCGGAGTTCTTAATTGAAGTTAGATATGCCTAGATCATGTCCTCCATGTTCATCATCATGATTTACTCCAGTGGAATGCCCCTTCTTTATATTGTTGGATGCATCTAGTTCTTCATCATGTACCTAGTCGATAAATTCCTTTGTAAGTTTTGGCTTTATTCATTCAACTTGCTTTTAGTCACAAGAGTGTATAAGAAGCCGCCCAGATATGGCATTGAGCTTTCCAACATTTCAAGAAGTATTCTAGTCTATACAGTGCTGATTCATCTCTGTTTTGGCTTTTACATGTTTTCCAACTCTTCAATCTTTGCATACGACAGTGATATTGGTTTCTTGACCTAGATAAGAGACAGATTCTAGGATGAGCTTGACAATGTCATAGTTACTAATGAGTATTTGTCTGTCTAGAGAATCACCCAGACGCATACACTCTTATACATTCTTGGCGCAGCTTTGATACTGATAATCTTTATGCTTACAGAAATCATCTAGTATTGCTTCCCAGACAGTTGGAAGAAGTGCTGCTGCTTATGCTTTAACTAAAAAGAGCACGATGATATTGTTCTCAAATCCTTTAGTGCTAATATCTATAAAGAGTTAGGAGTCGAGGACTAAAGATAAGAATATAAAAAGACGAGATAAGAACTAGCAGATATATAGATGATGGTTAAACAAGGCATCATAGGCCAAGATGAAAAAAGTGCTGTGATCATTGAAAGGCTTCAAATGAAGTTGAAAATCATGAAAGAAATCATGATTTAGCAGCTAAAGCAAGATGGTTTGGGTCAGGCAAACGATACTTTGACTGGATTTGCAAACTTGTTTAAGCACAAGAAGAACGATTTATCGCATAGAATTAAGACCAGGTATTCTTATGATATTAAGGACGATGATACTTACAAGAGAGTGCAGAAGATCGAGAAGAGGATGAGGAAGTATTACGCAAGGTAAAATTAATAGGCTTGAGTGACTGTTACATTCATCCAATAATTCAAATGCTTATGCTAAATTTATATGAATAACCTTTAATTAAAATTAAGTAAGTCTTGTGTTCTGATATATATTTATATAGAAGGGGTTTTGGGGTTTTGGGGTTTTGGGG